ATAATTGACAATTGAATTCTAACATTACTTGTGGGAGAATTACCTGCAATTTAATCAAGGAAAATGTTCAATATTAATTAATTGTGACAGTTCTAAAGAAAACTATCTTACTCTCCTTTTGCTTATGGCATATGGACTACATAAAAAATTCCGTGTAAGTTAAATATATTTACAAAGGGATAAAGTTTTTGTTAAATGATGAGATTACATATGCGATGCCCTTCTACCACTCAAGCAGCTGAGTCACAAAGTGACTCAGCTCATATCACTTTCCTTTGAAAAGAGCACCAACGATTTTTGGATAGTTTGATACGTTGTTAATAAACTCGCCTTGTTTTGCCTCATTTGCTTTGTTTTCGGGTCTCTTCTTGTAAATTAGAAACAAATAAATATCAAATGATTCAAAGACTAGTCTTAGAAAAGAAGTGGCTCTTGCGGGTTTTTCTCCAGCGCTCATTATTTTTCATAGGATTCTTTAAACATTTTTGCAGGTTAAAAAAAGGAAAATTTCACAATGAGAAACTGTGATTTTGATTTCAAATCTAACATTTCTGTGAAAAATTGTTGGTGATGTGCTTGAACGGTGTACAAAGTTGTTTACAACACCTTACAACTCACCTATACTACTCTAAGTCTTATTTTTAGCACATCGCGGCTTCGAATATTTTTCTTTTTGCGTTTCTGTTGTAGGAAAACATTAAACTTTGAAAAACTGGTCAACTTTTAAAAACTGCATGCAGTTTTTAAACGTAATCGTACTCATGCATGTTGCACACGCCCCAATGGCTTATGCAATTTGGTTAGTCTTTGAAAATTTACTCGTGCTGATTTCTCCCAAATTGCACTCGAAACGCATGATTACCTATACAAATTGCTGCAAAAAATTGTTTTGACAAATTTCATCTTGAATGAATGGAGTGCCTGTGCGCTTAATTAAATAACGGTTACGCAGGCTAAACCATTGAATTTTGCTTACTGTGTGTCTGGAAATTTGTTTAACGTTCCAAAATACTGAGTCACAATTATTACGTTAACTTTGTGTTATTTTTTATAGGACATCAGATTTTGACTGTCTTTACTTTTTTTTTCTACGCCGATATTGTAAGACAGCGCCTCCTTGTATTCCGTCAACCTACGCTAAAATAACCGTGGTTAATAATTACAGCTAAAGAAGGATTTTAAAAAATATACTAAAAAAAGAAATTCACAATTAAAAGGCTCGAAAACCATCAGCTTGAGAGTTTGCGTCATGCAGATTTTATTTGAAGATTACCTTGAAGATCCTTGAACTCTCTTCGATAACAGAGGCTCTCTGATGAGAATTATCATTATAATGAAATAAGTACCTGTTTGCCACCAAAGTTAAAATCTGCTGATAGTGTTCACGATAGAGAAGAAAGGTTAAGTAGGTCACATATTAAAAACCTCACACACATGTAGTTACGGAGCGATTTATGAGTCCTCTTACTGCGCCATGTATATTTGCTTCGCATTCAGTCTGTACCACAGTAGCGTGAATCACAACCAGGTGGGTGGTGAAGTTTGTAGATGAAGTAGGATCCACAGTTTTTCACAAAAATCGTTGTTGAGTATTTGCAAACCGGGAGCTCAGATAGACGATTACTAAAGCAGACCTTCATTTGAACTTCACCATCTTGCACTGTAGGATGAGCACCATCCAACCAGCCTGACCAGTCTGTATCACATCTGTATGCTGGCAAACGTGTTGTTGGCATTTTTGTTCCCGCAACTCCCACAAAACGATATCATCCCTCAGGGAGTTTGTAGTCACACAATTCTGAACCGGGAGGTGTAAGGTAATCTATCTTTCTATTGGCTTCACTAAGGTTTTCATAATGATAGCAAGGATCAGCTGCAAAGTGAAATGAGAATTGCAAAAGGACTGATATTATTAAAATCAAGCCTAAAAGATATCTATTTGAGTGCCCTCAAATATTTCAGAATTATGTGTTGACTTAAGAAAAGCCCTCCAGAGATTTTGCGTCAAATTGTCGCCAAGTAGTTTCGTTTCTTAATGCACAACCTTTGTGCATTGAAACTTGAGTCCGAGTTAAGTCCTTAAAAATTGTTTTAACTATGGTTCCGTGACCAAAAATTGATGCATTAAGGACATTTATTTTTTATGAGGTTTCTACTGTAGGAAAGACGCCCCCGTGGACGTAAATTACAACCGCCGGACCGGTGCCGCTTGAAGATAATTAGGTCCTGAATATTCCACTTTTCAAAGCAGAAAAGAAGTACGACCGGTCAAGCAATTTGAACTATATTCTCTTAATATTTATTCCCAAACAATATTTTTTGACTGAACTCAGTTATCAATATTTGAGAGAAAAGTTGTCTAGAATCATTTATCCAAAATGAACCTCATGATTCATGCTATCAATTACTTTGTCTAAATGTTGATATTCGTCTTAAAGACTAATCCAGCCCTCTACACATGGAGAATAAAGAAGTTGCTGCACGAGATTTGGCTCATTTTTTTGTGTTCTTTTTCATTTGATCTCCTTCAAGGCACCGCAAAACCTCAAAGCCGTCGAGGGAAAGCTATTGTATTAAAAAATGTCCCTATGGAAATATCGTGGTTTTTTATGTTCTATTTGATAAATGTTGGCCATATTTTGAAAGTGTGAGATTTTTGAAAGCGATATTTCACCGCCGCAAATGACTGAAAACAAACAAAAAAAAAAGCTGTGAAACAGCACTTCTAACAAGGGACAAAATAAAACGGTGCACCAAATAGGCCTTATAAATCTAAGCTTATCTCAAAGAAACTATGCAGTTTTGGTTCCTTTTCTAAATTCTGTGGCTGTGCAGTTTACTAATAACTTGTGCGATCCTAATAACTTCTAGTCCCAAATAATCTTTTATTTGAATTTAAATTTAGAGCATGTACAGGTGGTCTGAATTCTGAAACCTCTCGGGCAAACTCTGGCGCTTTTCCACGGACGAGCTTATCGAGGCAGTCTTTATAATCTTGTTTTGTTTCTACTGTTAAGAACTACAGATATTCGAAAAAAATTTAATGAAAGAATTGTGAATATGTTTCGAAAAAAGCATCTGGGACAGGGTGTTTGTCTCCGTTGAGAGACTCGAAGTTTGAAGCGTGCTCATTTAGTGTCACTCTCAGGGTCGTGTTCACGGTTCGAGATATTATCAGACATTAATTCATGCGATGCCCTTTACACATTCATTCAAGTGCGCTGATCAATTTTGAACAAATAGATAATTGTATGTTTGGCGAGTAACCAATTGTGTTGCGTTATTATTGAGATCATTTTAGGAAAAGTTTTAAGTTATATCACGTTGACTTACTTTCCAACGATTAAGGTCCATCTATTTGCTAATTAGAATGATGAATTAACTTTTTGGTGGTTTGTGCCAGGTTACCTAACAAATTCAATATGGGTGGTCAAAAGTCGCTTATGTCTCTAGTATTCTGATTCCCTTGCTGAAAAAACACAAACACCTCAGTACAAATGAAATTTTGGTAAGATATTTGTTTGCAAAGATGAATGACACCTTTTTACCTAAGAGAGAGAAAAGAAAAGTGAACCATTTACACCCTTCCATCAGTATGTATTTTCCCCGTACTGTTCTTGATACATTTCAGACATGCAACTTACAAGGAGAATGTAGTTAAAAATCAAGAGCTCTTTCAAGTTTGTGATCATTTCTTTTGTTTTTCAGCAGTGAATAATAAATTGTTTGATACTTTTCTCAATCACAATTTCACTGTGAACTGGAATCAAGTTGGTGGCGCATGTAATTGTGCTCACCAATTCCTCACTTACATGAAATCCAGATACATGACTTATTTTGTACTCCTTGATCCTTACAGATGCTCTGTTAAAGTTGTGGAGACATGAGGGGTTGAGAGGTTTATACAAGGTAACCTTGATATGTATCTGTTGACAGCTTTTTGATTGATTGATCAAGTTAAAAATTGAGATTATTTTGACTGTGTGTGCTGGTCTTGTGGTGAAGTATGCAGGGTATTGGTCTCTAATAAAGTCAACCAAATCCAAGAAGTCACAAGTGTTGCGTACCGCTCCATGTGTACCTTAATACCTTGAGCTTAAGTACAAAAAAAAAATAATGGAATAAAATGTAGTATTATAGAGGAATTATTAAATAACAATTGCATGTTGAGGCCCCTGAGGAAGGCAAATGCCGAAACGCGTCGGGTCTTGAATAAAGCGTTGAAAACGGAAGCACATTCTCCATTGTGCAAATTATATATATATATATATATATATATATATATATATATATATATATAACTAACTGCAGACAGTACTTTTTTTTTTTTTTTTAAAATATAAAAGCCTGGAGACCAGGCAGTTTTATTTCGTCAATGATATCTATTTACAATTCTAATTGATTAAAGTATTCGAATTCAATTATGAGTTATTTAGGTAATTACAGGTCTCAATTAACTAATGATATTTTCTCTTACAGGCGGCACGAACAGCGCACGGGCTATAACAGCCCGGAGTAAGCGCCCACCTGTAAGAGGTAACAAAGTTCTATTTAAAAGTTTTCTATTTACTATTTACAAAGAGATATTTCAGACCATGTGGGGCGCAAACAGCGCGCGGGCCTGTAGCCCGGAGTAAGCACCCCTCATGGGCGAGATTTAACAAGTTTTATTATATACAAAGGTTCAGGGGGGAGCAAGAGAGGGGAAGAAGATGGGCTTACCAGCGTCGACCGAACAAAGTACGTTTTTAAAAGACCAAAAATTCCTTAAGGTATCAGTGTCGTTACTAAGAATTCTGAGTTGGACATCTTTCTTAATTAAGTCTATAATCGCATTGGAGCTCAAAAGAGAACCTTCGAAGGTAGCTTTATTTCTGGCAAGCCAACACCAATATATGATGGTTGCCTTGAGAAAGTTAGATAAGGATATAGCGGTGGTAGATTTGTCTAGGGAAAAAGGGTAGTAGACAGATGTAGGGGAGATAGAGAAGGGGGAGTCGAGTAGAGCACGGAAAAGGGGGAGAAGTGGTCCCAGACTTTCACAACTCTGGGACATCCCAAGAAGCAGTGTTCAATAGTTTCCGTTTTTCCGCAGATCGCGCATTTGTCACTATTGATGTATCCCCAAGACTTAAGGAGATATCTTACGCGGATCATTCTATGGATCAATAGCCAAATTAGATCGTTCTTCTTGTTTTCAATTAGCTTTAGGCGAGACTTGCGCCACACCCAGGCCCAACGATTGATGGGGCGGTCCATAGCAGACGCCCAAAAACCGGAGCACCGGGGTGCAACGCAGACGGGGTCAAGCAACAAAAGATATAAATTCTTACCGGTGAGTAAATCAGGTAAGGCACCAGTTTTCTGATGCAAGGTACGGAAATTATCTAGACAAAGGCGGTAGTAATTGGAAGGAAGGAAGGAAGAGGGAGCAGAATTGGTGGGAAAAGAAAAACAGGGATCTAGAATAGTTAGCTTATGTCCTAAAAAATATCGAGCTAGGTAATGCCATTTGGATGTGCCAAAGTCATCTCTTAAACTGGAAAAAACAGAAAGGCGCAGGCTAGCGCACTTAGCTTTAAAATTAACGACGTTGAGGCCCCCGGATGATGGGGGCGCACAACAGCGATCGCGACTAACATTTTCCATTTTTCCTCTCCAGATAAAAGGCCAAATGATCGACTTAAAGCTATCGTGCACCCAACGGGGTGGGGGGATGACTTTAGCAACGTGCCATAAACGGCTTGCGCCTAAAGTATTTACAATTAAGGTCCTACCGATAAAAGACAGGTCTCTTTGTTTCCAAAGACTTAGAACCGAACTTAGTTTGTCTAATTTGGCCCGCCAATTGTCGTCGTCGACATTGACGAGGCCGTTTGAGAAATAAACACCAAGCACTCTCATTTTAGAGACCCATTTGAGGCCATAGGGAGATTCAATTCTAGTTCGCCATTTCCCTAACCACATTGCTTCAGATTTGGACGTGTTCAGTTTAGCGCCAGATCCTTGTTCAGTTTAGCGCCAGATCCTTGTTCAAATTTTGATACGACTCGGAGAAGTGAAGAAAGAGATCTTTCGGATTTTAAGATGCAAGTAGCATCGTCAGCGTACTGGGATATTTTATATTGAAGGCCCCCTGCTCCGGGGAGCAGGAAACCTTCAATATCTTTACAATTACGGATTTGCGTTGATAATACTTCTGAAACTAGCACATAAAGGAGAGGAGATAATGGGCATCCTTGTCTCACCCCTCTTCTTAAGTGGACAGGGGGGGACAGGGAGCCATTAACAATGATTCTAGAGAAGGCTTTAGAATAAAATAGTTCGACCCACCCACAAAAGGAGGGGCCGAAACCAAATTTACGTAATACTCTCATCATGAATTCGTGGTCAACTCGGTCAAAAGCTTTTTCTTGATCTAAGGAAATGAGAATGCCCGGTTCATTAGTTTTGTCAATCATGTCGAGGGCATCACGAAGTAAGGCCAAATTTGAGAAGATAGTGCGGCCGACCACGCCGCACGTTTGGTCTGAATGCACGATGGAGTTCATGACTTTTTTCAATCGTTCAGTGATGATTTTAGATGCTAACTTGTAGTCAGTGTTTAACAAGGAAATTGGGCGCCAATTTTTTGCGAGGCGTCGATCATCTTTTTTGTGGATGAGTCGTAGGAGGCCCTCGTACTGGCTATCCGCGAGGGAGCCAGCAAGAAAGGCCTCGTTCAAAACAGAAAGGAGAGATTCGCTCAAATCGTTCCAAAAACACGAGTAAAATTCTGTTGGGAGACCATCAGAACCGGGTGACTTGCCGGTCTGAAGGCCTTCCAATGCAGTAAGTAATTCTTTATTAGAAAAAGGGCCTTCACATAGATTGCGCTCATAATCAGTCAGTGAAAATTCGAGGCCGTCAATTATTTCAGTTTGAATTCGCATATCAAGAGGATCTTGGGTGAATAAATTCTTGTAAAAATTGGTTAAAATTCTTTCAAGATCATTTTGAGAATTTCTGAGAACACCGTTCTCGTCAAAAAAAGATTCAAAACTATTCATGTCAGCTCGTTTTTTCTCCAGACGGAAGAAATAGCGTGTTGGCTTCTCACCTTCTTCGAACCATTGTGCTCGGGAGCGGACTTTAGCTCCTTCGGCTTCTTTCGAGATCAGATAGGACAATTGGCTTTCCAAATCGCTAATTACACCTGGGTTATTTAAGCGATTAGAATGTAAAGCGTTTTTAGCATGGGTTAATTGCTTAGTAATTAGGATTCTTTTGGCATTTGCTGTTCTCTGTTTACGGATACAGTATGAAATACTTGTTTTGCGGATTTCAATTTTTAGAGCATCCCACCATTCGCGAAGGGAGGCGAATTCGGGGATTTTAAGCTTAAAGTTGTTAATCGATTTTGACATAATGTTTTTAAATTCTACATCTGAGAGTAAAGAGCTGTTGAACTTCCAAATTCCAGGACCGTGATTAGAAGGGTTAGTCGTTAGTTCAATTTTTACAAAGTCATGATCGGATAGGTCGTATACGCATGGAAGAATATTACATTTCGTTACTAGGGTTAAGCCTTTAGCGACGAGAAAGCGGTCAATTCTAGATGCCTGGGTATGGTCTTTATTAGACCAGGTGAAAGTTACTTTGCGCGGGTTGTTTTTGCGCCAAATGTCTGTAAGTGAGAAGTCAGCACAAAGGGATCGGAGAAGTTTTTGATCAGACAATAGGATGGCGGAACAATTTAATTTATCTAGGACATTGTCCACACAATTAAAGTCTCCCCCGATCACTAGGTCCCCTTGGGGGAGAAAGTAATTGTGCAGACAAGAGAAAAAACTTTTACGATCCGAAATAGTATTGGGAGAGTAAATGTTCACTAAATTTAGTTTAGAATTATAGTAGTCAATGAGTAAGCTCAATATTCTTCCTTCGGAATCGGTCAAAAAACGGATAATTTTGCCTGGAAAGTTTAGAGAAAAGAGGATGGCAACACCGGCAGACCTGCCAGTCCCGAAGGACCACAGACATTTGCCGCGCCAGAGTATTTCGAATTCCTCCGCTTGTTTTTTGCATGAGACATGTGTTTCTTGTAAAAGGATTATGTCACAGTTTGAATAATTTAATTCTTGAATAATTTTTCGACTTTTACTGGAGGACCCGAGTCCTCGCACATTTAGAGAAATTATTTTAAGCTTACTCATTGAATATAAATAAAAAATCAATATCTGTACCGCCTTCTCCTAGGTTTAACTCTCTCCCATCCATCATCATCAGTTTCGGAGCCAGAGTAGTCACGGCGGGAAGATCTATCGCGGCCATCGTGGCCGCGATAATAATCTCGATCGCTTCTATCTCTCTCTCTTCTGCCGTCTCTCCGGTCATCTCTTCGTTCTTCTCGATCGTCCCTCCCTCGCTCGTCTCTTCGTTCTCTTGGTCGTTCTCTTCTACCTTCGTCGCGTTGTTGTTCTCGTTGTTTCTCTTGATCTTGTTGTTTCTGTTGTTCTTGCTGTTCCTGCTTTTCTAGTAATTTCTGTTGTTCTTCTTGTTGTCGCTGATGTTCTCTCTGTTGTTGTAGTTTTTTCTGCCTTTCTTCTCTTTCCTTGGCGCGCTGGGCTCGCTCTTGTTCCTTTTCCTTTTCAGTTTTAGGTGGCGTTGGCTCACTATCGACGTTCGCGCTGAAGAGCAGGAAGGGGCATTGAGGCATGGAATGGTTGTCCGCCAAACAAACGGAACATCTTGGCGAGTCTTTACATTCTTGAGCTCGATGCCCAGGGCATTCACAATTAAAACAACGGACTGCGGAGCAGTCTTTGGCCATGTGGTCAGTAGCTCCACAATTCCGGCAAGCTTTTGGCTGATTTGGGTACCATATTTTGATAGGTTCACCAGCTATGTTGATGTTGGCAGGGATAGTTCGATGTAGCGCCATTCGAGCCGTTCTTACTCCATTCTCGATATGTTGTGCAATTTTGTCGCGCCGAAATGAAAGGACACGACCGTAGTGGCTGAGTCGGCCAATCACGGCAGTGTCGGGTAGTTCAGCGGGGGCTTCATGGATCTTGACGAGGACCAAACGATTTTCGCAGTCGCCCAGGAACACTTTGAGACCGGCAATCACGACGAAAGGTGTTTCAAGAGCGGCTTCTTTAGCTGCACGGCTCTTAAAAGTCACGATCCAAGATCTATTGGACGCCTTTCTCTGGATTCCGGTGATAGCGTCAATATCGATTTCTGCCGCGTCAAAAGCTTCGAGAATTATTTGCGATGTGACGGTTGTATCAACGCTAAAATAAATAGAGCGATCCTTCGTGATTCTACTTTGACTGGGAGCATTCAAAAAAGGCACGGCCTGAAATTTCACACCCTTATTTTCCAGATTTTTTAGTACCTCAGGGATTTCGATTTCCACGTCTGCGCCCCAGGACTGTGAACCTTCTACCACGCTTGCGTCTACGACGTCTCCTGGATTCGCTGTCGAGTTATCTGTAGTAAACTGGCTGATATTTTCACTTTCCTGGCTGTCCATGTTGACCAATTGCTGCAAAAGCAAGGAAAATAAACTTTTCATAAGCCTTTTAACCTTACCCAAGAGGCCGAGAAGCTTTCAGTACTGTTTCGGCCTTCTGGGCCTCATCAGTGCAGTGCTGATGCTAGGATGGAGGTAAGGCTATATAGCCACCCCAAGTGATCTCACACGTGTGGTATCATCTAAGCCATGCCAGAGTGCTCAAACTAGATAAACTAGTGAGCATGCATAATGCTAGCAGCAATGACTCATCCTAGTAGAGTGCTCAATTTGGACATGAAAGCAAAGCTTTGTATGCCAAAGAGCTATATCTAACTGCAGACAGTACTGTATATATATATATATATATATATATATAGTATTTAGTTCTTAAATGTACATGGGCGATTCAATAGTGGAAGTGTAAAAGTGTTCTTATGGAAAAGGAGGAAAAAAACAATCAAAAAGAGAAAAAGGGAAGGGAAGAGCAAGAACAAAAGAGAAGCACAAACATCAGTCTTAGAGTTAAGACCTCGCTATCTTTGCCTAGCTTAGAGTTTACCTGAGTTTATGTGTTTGGATGGAACATGAAGTTTTCTCATATCATTATATTTTACTTGACCAGGGTTACGTTCCAGCTATTTTTGGCGTATCACACGGAGCACTGCAATTCATGGCCTATGAGGAGCTGAAGAAAGGCTACAGTCAATATTTTGGAACACCAATCAACAAGAAGCTGGTGAATACTGTCTGCACGTGTCTGTATAGTTGATTGTATACGTGTTAACGCTCACAAATTCAACCGAGTTAGCAAACAAGAAACTCTTGCTCTTAATCCTTGACATACAAAACATGTGAAGTGCTTTTACTCTGATCATGTTAATAGCTTAGGGTGGATGATTGAAGTGCTGTCATTTACTGGAAGGAAACTTTTCTCTCAACTCCCCTCTCCACCCAGAAGGATTGATAAGAATCAACCCTTTGCCCTCCTAAGATTGACTAGCATCTAACTTCTCCTTACAATATCACCTCTGAATCACACATGGAGGTCATGAGAATAGAGGAAATATTCAGCCACCGAAAAAGTTCTTGACTGTTTAAGAAATTCTCCTTGTTAGTATCTTTGGAAATGTACAGAGAACAGTATGGAGAATATGAATATTGATGTTAGGGTGTAAAGGGTCAATACGAACACATGTAGTGGCCAGTGGCGAATGTAAAGGGAGAACATGAGAGAGGGAAGGGTGGGGGAAGTTTTTGGCTTCTCATCTTGAGTAGTAGTCCTCCATGACGAGCTTCAGCATTTTGAAGCTACAACTGACGTCCAAAAGACAACCTCTATTACCTTTGTTGTACATGTGGCTGGTAGGATGGTACTTATAGGATGACGGTTATTATTATGTAACCATGGGTTATCTTGGGAATCACTCTGAAGTGCTGAAAATATAGTAGTTCTTTTTTTTTTTATATAAAGTGTTTTGCTCTCTAATTTATGTTTTGCTAACTTTCATTTTCTTCATAGAGTTCAACTGAGTACCTTGTAATGGCTTCACTGTCGAAAATTTTCGCTGCAACAGCGACATATCCTTATCAAGTGGTTAGAGCAAGACTTCAGGTTAGAATGGGAGATTCATTAGCAAATTATTAACCTTTTTGACACAGATTTAGATTTCGTTTTACTTTTGTATGCTATCATCTTTAAATAAACTTGTAGTTTAAGGCCGTTTTTAGTTTTCAGGCCGGTGATCTCATCGGTTGGTTTACTGGACTCCAGGTTGATGTGACCTGTGCTCGAGCCTCGAGCCTCAGCTAGGTCATTGTGTCGGTTCCTTGGGAAAAGATTCGTTAGCCCCACACATCCCCCCCCCCCCCAGTGGTTCAAATGGGCACCAACAAAAGGCCAGGGAAACCCTACAATGTGGATAAATACCAAATCTCACGAGGGAGAGTAGCTTTCACCCTCTTTCACTCTCCCTATTCCTCTTAAGAAACACGGATCCAAGATGGTTATGAGAACGCACGGCGCGAAAGTTTTGATCCTGTGCCCATAAAATTAGCTAAAACCAATTGAATATATCAGGAGCTGTCTCTAAGCAAGTCTGTTTTGTTAAATCGTTCAGTATTTACTATTTCCTGCTGACATTTATTGTTCATGAATTTTACTTTTCTAAAGAATCAGTACACGATGGTGGAATACAAAGGCGCGTTGGATGTGATTAGTAAGACTTTCAGGTAAGTTGGAACTTGACTTGAGGACTTAAAGTTTTCGATACGTTATAGACTAGCTTTCCATATCTAGTTTCAAACCCTCTGCATTAAAGAGAGGTACATGTTTTGCCCGTTTGAAACAATTTGACAAAGAACTGGACCAAAATTGGCGGAGAACTGAAACCAGCTTGTTTGAGAACTGTATCCAATTTCGGATTGACTTACGGCTTAGTGGTAAAGTCCACATTTTTATGGAAGAAGGTATTCTTCTTTTTCTGGCCTCTCCTCACGGCAGGTTCTTTTCAAAATCTTAGGCATGAAGGAGTAACAGGATTTTATAAAGGATTAATTCCCAGTGTCCTCAGGTAAGGCTAAATGTTAAAAATTTGATGATATAAGTAGATTTGCTTGTTGGTTTTATGTGTTGAACCGCATTGTATAATCTAGAATTGGCCAAGAGGGCTTAGTGGGCTCTCATCTTTAATTTTAGGTGGCACTTTGTAAAGGAAAGGGTCTTAAGAGATGGGGTACCCCCATAAGGTGTTTGAACTTATTTGCACCCTCCATCTGTGAGAAACTGGGAAGAAGAGACAGGCGATAGATACATTAAGAGGCTATAAAATTTGGAGTAGGTGCTATGTCATTGTTTTCGTCAGTTACATGTTCGAATACTGTGAAATTATTAAGATACTTAATTAAGATACTTTTTTTGGAAATCCAGCAAAGGAGCGCTTTAGAAGAAACCCTGAAACTGTAATATATGTAAAACGTTCATTGTCGATTTTACTGTGTATTGTGCGTTTGATTGTTGTTGATTGTTGTTTCTTTTTAGAGTAACGCCAGCATGTGCACTTACATTTGTGGTGTACGAAAACGTTATTCACTTCCTTCTGCCGGACAGATGACATCGACAGGATAAATGATGGGATCCGGCAACGGGAGACAATGGGCAATACTACAGCACCTTGTTTTATTACCAGACTTTATTCCACAACAGTTCCAACTGATTCATTTATGGAAAAAATATATTAACCGAGTGAAGTTAACCGCCCAGTGCGTTTACACATTTTATCGATAACTTCATTTACCAGCGGAATGTGAATATGAATTTTTTCAGAGCAATTTTTTTACATCAATGCAAAAGGTATACATTATTACTATCAGGTCCTAAGGGTAACAATGATTTCTCCCATTGTTCTTTTATAAAGAACCTTCCCCCTCCCTTTTGTCCCTTTTCCCATACGGGTATCAAATTTATGTACATCCACTTAGCACTAACAAAGGCATGAACTACAAGAGATGCCTTTTTGCAATTTTTTATTTTTTTATTACTATTAACTTCATAATTCAAACATTACTTGTGAAAACTACTTGCAATTAATCAAGAAAAATGTTCAATATTAAGTTAAAAATTACCTTATTTTCCTTTTTCTGTTCCTTACGTTAAAATATTTTTCAATAACTTTCTCCATTTGTTACTGCATCGTTGCGATGTAAAGTTAAACCCAGTTTTGATTTATGGCTCTGTTTTTACTTCACTGTAACATTTCCTTGTTTTTGTTGTTATTTTTACCTGGTTATTGACATTAACTTCAGTAAAGAACGGTGAAAGCTACTCTTTCGCGATCGCTATCAGATGAGTGGTATCGAGAACCTACTCCGACCCATGGACTACACTGCCCTTAACGCTTACTCGTGTTCGTGTAATGAAACTAGTCCGTGTAAGTTAAATTTATTTACAAAGAGATACACAGTTTTTGTTAAATAATGAGATAATTTATTTACACCACTCAAGAAGCTGAGCCACAATTGACCCAGCTCATATCACTTTACTTTGAAGAGTCTACCGACGATTTTTCTATATTTTGATACGTTGTCAAGAAACTCGTCTTGCTTTGCCTCATTTGCTTTGTGTTCAGGTCTCTTATTGTAAATTAGAGACAAATGAACATCAAATGATTGGAAGACTAGTCTTAGTTAGAATATTGAAATATCAGGCAGTAGCCTTTGGGGGTTACGGTGAGAGTGGGTTTCTTTTCTGCGCTTACTATTTTTCATAGGATTCTTTGAATATGTTTGCATTATATAAAAGGAAAACTTCGCCGAGAGAAACTGTGATTTTGATTTCAAATCTAACATTCCTGAAAAAAAAATTTTTGGTGATGTACTTAAACGGTGTAGAAAGTTGTTTACAACTTGTGTTTACCTATGCTGCTCTAAATACTTTTTTTTTAACACATTGCAGTTCTGAATACCTTTCTTTTAGCGTATTAATGTTGTAGGCAAACATTAACCGTAGTAAAACAGGTCAACTTTTAAAAGCTATAAAAGTATTTTAACAAATTTCGTCTTGAATGAATGAGGTGCCCGTGCTCTTAGTTAAATAAGCTTTATAAGGACACTTTGAAGCCATTGCGTCAAGATCTTTAACTTGGATTTAAAATAAGCGTGAGATGTAAGCGATCCATTAATTTCAAATGAATTCTGGTCGATTACGACACATTTAACACACGGTTACGCAGGCTAAACCATTGAATTTTGCTTACTGTGTTTCTGGAAATTGGTTCAATGTTTCAAAATACTGAGTCACTATTATTACGTTAACTTTATGTAATTTCAAAGGACATCAGATTTTGACTGTCATCGCTTTTTTTTCTACGCCTATAACGAAAGAAAGCGCCTGTTTGTATTCCACGGACCTACGCTAAAATAATCATGGTTTATAATTACAGTAATTGAAGGATGAAAAAAAACGCAAAAAAAAAAACATAAATGAAAGGCTCAAAAACCTTAAGCTTGAGAGTTTGTGTCTTGCAGATTTTACTGGAAGATTACTTAAAGATACTTGGGGCAACTCTCTTTGATGACAGAGGCTATCTGATGAGAATTATAATTCTAATGAGATAAGTACCTGTTTGCCACCAAGTTAAAATCTAATGATAATGTTTACGATGGAGAAGAAAGGTTGAATACCTTACATGTCAAAACTTTATATACATGTATCTACGGAGCGATTTGTGAGTTCTCTTACTAGGCGAGGTATATTTTCTTCACATTCAGTCAGCACTGCAGTAGCGTGAGTTACAACCAGGTGGCTTTCGAAGTTCGTAGATAAAGTAGGATCCACAGTTTTTTAACAAAATATTATTTGAGTATTGGCAATCGGTAGAGCGATCACTAAAGCAGACCTTCCTGCCTACTTCACCATCTTCCACTGTAGGATGAGCATCATCTAACCAGCCTGACCAGTCTGTACCACATCTGAATGCTGGCACATGTGTTGTGGGCATTTTTGTTCCTGCAGCTCCCACAAAACGATACCATCCCTCGGGGAGTGAGTAGTCACACAACGATGGTCCATCTAACGGTGTAACGTAACTGCTCTTTCTATTGGCGTCACTCAGGTTTTGATAATTATAACATGGGTCGGCTAGTAAATGAAATAAACATTACAAAAAGGTTGTAGTAACAAAGATAACATTTTTTGTTGAAATTTTTCAAGTCAATCAGTTCGACAACAATTAGATGGGACTAATGTTTTACAAGAACAACTATGCGTTAATTAAAATTTAAAGAAGAATTTGGATTGGACAGTGATGATGCCAATAGGAACTTAAATGAAATGATAGCATTATACAGAGTTATGTGAACTCTTGCTTTAATCGCCCATCAAAGCCTGTAGTTGTTTGTACCTCAACTGGAAGCTACTTAACGCGTTTATGACATTTTTGATCTTCAGTTCCCAAACAACGATACCAGCCCAGAGGTATTTGGTAGTAACACAATTAAGTCCCAGGAGTGTGCAATGACTTTCTTTCTATTAGCACCATCCAATTATTTATAATCATAACGCGAATGAATGAGTTGCCAGTAATCGGATCCTTGCGTTTGCACAAAGATTTCCTAAGCAATTACTTTAATGTATCGCGATATTATTCAATTGCCAAGCACACCATTTCGATCTCCTGCTGCTTCAAGGTAGCGTTGTAGCGCTCTTTTGTATTACGAAGCCAAGGAAAAAGCTAGAAGCTATAAGTAGACTTAACGCACGTAAACAAAACTGAAAAGGCTAATATGTATAAATTTCGAGACCAGAACACGATGTCAATTTCACAATAAACCGTGCGCATGGTGAAAAGTCAATCGGTTCATTTTACTTCATATTTCATGGTTGTTCAAACAAAACTTACGCTTCCCTTGAATCAACATTACCCACTCCAATTCTGATAAAGCAGCGGCAAAAAAAGCGATGATCTCTCTTCGTAATCGTTTCTTTGGACCTCGAAACAGCCTTTCGCCATACATTTATTTCTAGAGAGTTGTAATGTTTGCCCCGTGGCGCTCCCAGAAATCTTTGCGAAAACACAAGGATCCGATTGCTGGCAACTCATTCGCTGTCATTTCGTTTCGAGCTTCTAGATTTCAGCACTACTCGTTTTTCTTCATAAATTTGTAAAGTATAATTTGGAATTGAAATCGTCGCCGTTTTTCCCTTGTTTATTGAATATTCTTCTCAATCATGACAGTACACTTCTTTTAAGCAGGAGTCATGGCGAAACATGTAGAGATTAAGTGACCCAACGATGGAGTTGTTTACAATGAGTTCCCGTTTAACCATGAACGAATGATATGCACTCAAACTAGTCACCAACGAAACGGTTAGACTGAGGAATCAGACTTCGTTCCTGTTTTATTTTGTTTTTTTTTTTAATTTAATTTTTTTAACGAATAAAGTCGTTGAAGACTGAATCAAATTAATAGATTTAGAAAACTGTGCCGAAATCAAGTTGATTGTTATTTTCTTTAGTAGATGACTTTCTTGTCTGAGTTTCACCGGCGCTGATCAAAATTAAAGACATAAAAAAGTGCAGCCCGAGCTATTCTCAAATTTTTTTTTATCTCTGACTTCAATTCGCAGAACAATTTTTAATCACGGTTAAAACGACAATGACAACAAATAACACTGAATAATATAGCAGGTAACCTTCGTGTTGTTTCATTTTGATAAACTTCGACATGAAGCAAGTTTAATTTATTGAAGAATTAATTCACGATAAAATTAACAGCACCCGTTCTTAGAGTTTTCGGATCAATATTTGTTTCTGGGCAACCGAGCTCGAAATAGGTGACTCGAGCTTTAAAGCCTATCCGAGCTCGAGTCACAACTCGACTAGAAGGATCCTGAGCAACCGAGCTCGATATAAGTGACTCGAGCTCGAAAGCCTACCCGAGCTCGAGTCACAATCTTTGTAATCGAGCTCGAATCAAATCGAGTTCGATTTGGTAATCGCGCTCGAATCAAATCGAGCTCGTGTCCGACCGAGCTGAATAATATTTGTTCCTGGGCAACCGAGCTCGATATAGATTTTTCTGGCAGGGGGAGGGAGGAGGGGGAAGTGCAGATCATGCTCCATATAAGGGGAAGAGATAATAGAGAGAGAAAAATTTAAAAAAATATTAGGTTTTTCCTGTCTCATGTTTTTTCTTAAGTTTAAAACAGCATTTGGACAGAGAACAATTAATTATTGAATGGTTTCCTCATGCAGCCAGTTGGACGATTCTTTTAAACTTTGTTACTCAATCTAGGTTTTAAACGCAGATTAAGAAGTGAGCACCTGGAACGGTTCTTGCGGTCCTAGTCCTTAAGCTTGCAATCACCAGCTTTTTAGACATCTAGATCTAAAATTTTTACATTATACATTGAATTAAAGCTTGCAACAACCAAATTTTTAATGTTAAACTCTAACCACCAGATTTACACGTAAGATTCACATTGTTCATTTTTACAAGTTACTTAAGTGATTAACGGACTTAAGCAAAAAATTTGAGTGAGACAATAAACAATTAACTTCAGTGACACATCCCTAAGAGAGTTTTAAAGAGACAATTATACAATTGAAAATCAATAACATCATGTTTTAAGTAACTTTAAAAAAATGGACAATTTGAATCTTACATGTAAATCTGGTGGTTAGAGTTTAACATTAAAAATTTGGTTGTTGCAAGCTTTAATTCAATATACAATGTAAAAATTTTAGACTTCTTAATCTGTGTTTAAAACCTAGATTGAGTAACAAAGTTTAAAAGAATCGTTCAACTGGTTGCATGAGGAAACCATTCAATAATTAATTGTTCTCTGTCCAAATGCTGTTTTAAAAAGTAGGATGTTTAGAAGGCGAGAGCTACGAGTTGTCCTGCGAGATATATCTCCTCTGTTTTCAAATAGTCTGGTGCATATCCAGTCATGCAATTTCAATCGGAACAACAAAATTTTCAACATCTCTTGGGCGGCGCTTAAAGTCTTATAAAATGCCAAAAAATAGTTATTAAAGCGGTCGACAAAGCCGGCGCTGTGGTCGTTTGGCGGGCCGACCTCAACAAAAGAGAAGCGTCAACTTTTTGAAACCTATTTTTATGCAAAACTTTAAAAAAATCTCACCTACAGAGAACAAAAACTGTCCAAAGCACTGTGACAACCTTCTAGCAAAACAAGAACTGCCACAAATTTAATCATCACAAATCTTCAAACAGGGCGCATTTTTTTTCCTTTTAATCAAAAAATCACAAACCCAACAACCCTGGTCGACCCATCGTTTAATCCTGCAGTTGCCCCACCACACAGATCTCTACCTATTTATACTCTGGGAAAAGAGAAATCACATGGAGACATATCAGTCTGGCCTAAGCTATGTAACCTTTTTTTTTAACTGAATGTAAAGCTTTGTCTCTGAGCAGATCTATAGGCTTCCTGACCATGAAAAACAAACTAAGGATATAGGGATGACGAAGCTTGCATAACTTACACTCTTGTGGGAGTTTTGGGTGACAGAACCGCGCGAATGAGCGGCGAAGTAACGGAGAGAATGTGAAGGAATAAACTAACGCTCGGCCGCATAAATCTTAATTGAACGAAAAACCATTCATTCACGCAAGCTATAGACATACAGAAGTCCTTTTCAATTCAAGAAGTCACCATTTCAAACCCCCCTTCCCTCTACCCGCCTCCACCACCCCCTCTCCCCCCTTATTCTTTTTCCCCTCCCATACTAGGCACACGACTAGAAATCATGTCCTCGCTAACTTTGAAACAGGAAAAACCAAATATATTTTTGAATTTTTCTCTTCACCATAGTTTTTATTATTATCTCTTCCCCTTGATAGTCTTATATCGAGCATGATCTGCACTTCATCCTCCCCCCTCATCATGTTTTAAGTTACTTTAAAAAAATGGACAATTTTAATCTTACATGTAAATCTGGTGGTTAGAGTTTAACATTAAAAATTTGGTTGTTGCAAGCTTTAATTCAATGTATAATGTAAAAATTTTAGATCTAGATGTCTAAAAAGCTGGTGATTGCAAGCTTAAGGACTAGGACCGCAAGAACCGTTCCAGGTGCTGACTTCTTAATCTGCTTTTAAAATCTAGATTGAGTAACAAAGTTTAAAAGAATCGTCCAACTGGTTGCATGAGGAAACCATTCAATAATTAATTGTTCTCTGTCCAAATGCTGTTTTAAAAAGTAGGATGTTTAGAAGGCGAGAGCTACGAGTTGTCCTGCGAGATATCTCCTCTGTTTTCAAATAGTCTGGTGCATATCCAGTCATGCAATTTCAATCGGAACAACAAAATTTTCAACATCTCTTGGGCGGCGCTTAAAGTCTTATAAAATGCCAAAAAATAGTTATTAAAGCGGTCGACAAAGCCGGCGCTGTGGTCGTTCGGCGGGCCGACCTCAACAAAAGAGAAGCGTCAACTTTTTGAAACCTATTTTTATGCAAAACTTTAAAAAAATCTCACCTACAGAGAACAACAAAATATCAAAAAGCATTGCGAACGGCCTTCTAGCAAAACAAAAACTGCTACAAATTTAATCATCACAAATCTTCAAACAGTGCACATTTCTTTTTTCCTTTTAACCAAAAAATCACAAACCCGACAACCCCGGTCGACCCATCGTTTAAGCCTGCAGTTGCCCCACCACACAGATCTCTACCTATTTATACTCTGGGAAAAGAGAAATCACATGGAGACATATCAGTCTGGCCTAAGCTTTGTAACCTTTTTTTAACTGAATTTAAAGCTTTGTCTCTGAGCAGATCTATAGGCTTCCTGACCATGAAAAACAAACTAAGGATATGGGGATGACGACGCTTGCATAACTTACACTCTGGTGGAAGTTTTGGGTGACAGAACCGCGCGAATGAGCGGCGAAGTAACGGAGAGAATGTGAAGGAATAAACTAACGCTCGGCCGCATAAATCTTCCTTGAACGAAAAAAAACATTCAGTCACGCAAGCTATAGACATACGGAAATCTTTTTCATTTCTAGAAGTCATCATTTTAAACCCCCCCTTCCCTCTACCCGCCTCCACCACCCCCCCTTATTCCTTTCCCCACCCCCGCCCATACTAGGCACACGGCTGGAAATCATGTCCTCGCTAGCTTTGAAACAGGAAAAACCAAATATTTTTTTAAATTTTTCTCTTCACCATAGTTTTTAATATCAAGAGTGAAAAACGCAGGCGCAAGTGGGCGATTTATAGCCATTTTCTCTATTTTTTCGCTCTCTTTTCTTGGAGGACGGTTCAAATTTACCGCAGATGCAATTAAAAGGTACCTGGGTGGGTCGCGGCTTCTGCGCGATGAGTACGCGGAGCGTTTTGAGGAGACATTTGACTGTATACTGACTTATACCTTGCTGGGGAGGATTAACAATCAGATCTTGGGAGTTAAAGGGTTAAACTAGTTTGTAATTTAATTATGTGAATGTTTGTTATTCATTAAGTATTTAGTGGTTATGATTACTCAGTAAGTAATCATGCATGTTTATAAATTTGAGTATTCTTGTTACCTATTTGTTGGATAACATAAGGATTTTATGGGAAGAAGTTGTTAACCTTTTAACTGCCACGAGTGACCCAGACAGAATTTCTCCCTACAATATTAATACAATATCAACCAGATAAGTGAAGAGACCAAAGAAGAATATCAATTTTGGGTTAATTAGTTGATCAATACTAAATTCTCTGACCTAACATCATAAGAATTGTATGGTTGATAGTAAGGAGAATTAAAAATTCAATCTGGGAGTTAAAGGGTTAATCACTTCTAGGAGTCAAAGGGTGAAAAAATGAATGCAAGTTTTTAAACTAGTTTGTTGTTTAATTATGTTAATGTTTGTTATTCATTAAGTATTTAGTGGTTATATTACTTAAATAAAACTGATACCGAATAGTTAACATTTCAATTTTTACATTCGCCTGCTTCCCGAGATTTTTTTATAGTGGCAGCGAACTCAAATTTTTGCTTAAGTCCGTTAATCCCAAACTTCATTAACCAGTCGCGTCTTTGAGCTTCTGCAATAGAGTGTAGATGCGCTGCTCCTTGGATACCAGCCTCTCGGTCACTCCTCCGTGGAACAAGACACGACCCACTCTAGCGATTGGACTCTTTAAAACTTTAGAAAACCCCCCTTTTTTTTCGTCTCACTCAAATTTTTGCTTAAGTCCGTTAATCACTTAAGTAACTTGTAAAAATGAACAATGTGAATCTTACGTGTAAATCTGGTGGTTAGAGTTTAACATTAAAAATTTGGTTGTTGCAAGCTTTAATTCAATGTATAATGTAAAAATTTTAGATCTAGATGTCTAAAAAGCTGGTGATTGCAAGCTTAAGGACTAGGACCGCAAGAACCGTTCCAGGTGCTCACTTCTTAATCTGCGTTTAAAACCTAGATTGAGTAACAAAGTTTAAAAGAATCGTCCAACTGGCTGCATGAGGAAACCATTCAATAATTAATTGTTCTCTGTCCAAATGCTGTTTTAAACTTAAGAAAAAACATGAGACAGGAAAAACCTAATATTTTTTTAAATTTTTCTCTCTCTATTATCTCTTCCCCTTATATGGAGCATGATCTGCACTTCCCCCTCCTCCCTCCCCCTGCCAGAAAAATCTATATCGAGCTCGGTTGCCCAGGAACAAATATTATTCAGCTCGGTCGGACACGAGCTCGATTTGATTCGAGCGCGATTACCAAATCGAACTCGATTTGATTCGAGCTCGATTACAAAGATTGTGACTCGAGCTCGGGTAGGCTTTCGAGCTCGAGTCACTTATATCGAGCTCGGTTGCTCAGGATCCTTCTAGTCGAGTTGTGACTCGAGCTCGGATAGGCTTTCGAGCTCGAGTCACCTATTTCGAGCTCGGTTGCCCAGAAACAAATATTGATCCGAGTTTTCATATACGATTTAAGAAATGTATCAAAGAAAAGCCCTAACGTTCCTTAAAGCCACGCTCAATTACAAAAGGTAACTAGGCCCTAAAATCTTAGATATCGATCGCTTGCTAACGATCATGTTCCCTTTCGCGAATCCAGAATTAATGTGGCGGTAAATTTTCACAAACTCACCGAATAAAACAAAGAAAGGAACCTGGTTATATGGAAATGAGTTCTGAAATCATTCCAAACAGCATTATCTCTTTTATAAGTGCACAATTAACGGAAATTCTAGGTGTTTTGATCACGACGGGAAATCAGCGAAATGACGTCCTGAACTTGATGGGGAGAACGGCAACGCTAACACCGGAAGTCGAAATAGAGTCGTGTCCAGATTATCCGCGCGCTTTCCTGTTCTGAAATGACGTTCCCGTCCTCTTGCTAAACCACTCTCATATCTTAGAAACCGTAAATACATTTTACACTTTATTTTTGTCGTCTAACGATTTGTAATTACTTTAATCATTTCGGATAATAAGATAAAGCTTTCTCTTTCTTTGTCTTTAACGAGATTGATTTTTGAAACGTGCAACTTAGATGTTATATTCTCCTTTCCAATGTTCTTTTTTATATCTCCTAACATCAAGGCTCTGAGACAAACCGGAAGTAGATCATGGCAACTCCGTGCATAAGCAAGTATGGGTAATGCTGCTTAAAAAACAAAACTTAGCACTGGTAGGACGATAGTTCCTGCTAAAATTGCTTTATTTAATGCGATGGATGCACAGATATAGCGTGCAAGTTATTATTGGTCTGTTATTCACTCACTCGATTGTAGATAGCAATTGCTTAGAATTAAACATTGTAACTCGCATGTCTTTAACTACTTTAAGGCTTTGAGACTAAAACAGTGATATTCAGAGATCCAGATAAACTCATCAGGATCCTAATTTGAGCTCCTTCTTTTTCAGACAATGCATTAAAGGACAGCTGTAGGCAGACTTAGGGCACAACCGGTATCGTTTACATATGAGAAACTAATAATATGGCCACCTCAGCAGCTTCAGGTTATATTCGAGCAGGAATATTCTAAATATTATAGCAAAGAGATTAAATTCACCTGTGCAGCTTTGACCATTTCCATTAAATCCAGGGTGGCATTCACAAAGATAGGATCCGTTGGTGTTCGTGCAGGTTGCATTCACGTGACAAGAGTGATTTCCTTTACATTCGTCAATATCTGAGGAAACCACATATATATTTGCACTTCATCATGTTTGTCACTTTAAAAATGAGCGGACTCTCAGTCGAGTGATTACTTTGATAATCATACATAATAAAACAATTTTTTCTCTTTTTGTGTTCCACGAATTAGATATTTGAAACGTATATTTTATCACGAATATTTCTGTTTATCAAGCTATCGGCTCTGAAACAACTGGCTTGTTCCTGCTGCTCCCACAAAACGCACCATCCCTTGGGGGATAGGTCGTCACAAAACACTGGACCAAATTGCGGTTTAGCGTAACTACTCTTAATATTGGCATCACCCAGGTTTTGATAATTATAGCAGGTAATTTAGTGTTAACAACCGAGTTGAAAACGTAAATTTGCCACCGTAAAGGGTAAAAAAGCTGACGTTTCGAGCGTTAGCCCTTCCTCAATCACTGATAGCATTACAAAGAGTCATGTTTCCTTTTGCTTTAATCGCCCATTTAAGTCTGAGTTGTATGTTCCTCTACTATATGCTACCAAATGTGTTTAAGACATTTTTGATTCTCAGCTCCCGCACAACGATGCCAGCCCCGAGGTATTCGGTAGTAACACAATTATTTCCCAGGAGTGTGTAATTTCTCTCTGCCTCCTAAAGGTTTCCTTTCTTTCCATGAAAAGGGTCAGATAAGGTCAGAGAAAAATATACAATCCCTTCAGGACTCAACCTGCCATTTCTTTTAGATTTTTTTCCTTCCCCAACATTTTTCTTACCTTATCAACTGAGTTGATAATGCAAATTGGCCTCTGTAAAGAGTTTCAAATTTACCTCATCAACTCAATTGATAATACTAAATTACCCTGTTGCACTCTCCCACCGACGCAGCACCGCAGTTCTTGTAGAACCTTTATTTATAGCTCTTTCTCTCAGTTTACTTGCGATATAATCCACGATGGATTTTGTCAAAACGAGCTGGAGGCGACTGATCTACTTTTTTTTCGAATGGTTTCCCAACATCTGAAGACGTTTACTACGCTGGTAAACCGATAGAAAGTGCGGTCTGTTACTTTAATAACATATATAAACTTCGATTTTCCACAGGTTTACCGGTGCAATCAACGATTGTTTTTTGACCAATCAGGGCGCTCGTAGTATCTTGACTATTTTATAAAACTTGATGATAATAATTTTCAACTTTTTCACTTAAATATATCTTGAGTGTCAACGAAAACGTAGCCCCTTGGAAAATCATTTACATATCCATTCTGTGCACAGGGTTCAGAGCCAGACGAGCGATTTTATTTTCATGCTCCTGTCAGTCATTGTGATAAGGTTAATTTTAAAGCAGAACAACGCATCAGTCACCAAAATTGTTCATTTAAAAGTCAGGGACATTACCTAAGAGGTTCTTAACATGAGAAATGGCTGCCTAAATCAAAACCAGTAATGAGTAATAAATTACCTAATTGTCTTGCAACGCGGCTAAATGGTGCGGCGCTGTAGCCGGAAGGCATACAGGACTATTAAAAATATTGTAGCGAAGAAATTAAATTCACCTGAGCAGTTTTGTCCATTTCCAGTATATCCAGCATGACATTGACATACATGTGATCCAAGGGTGTTCATGCATGTAGCATTCACGTGACAAGAGTGATTTCCTTTGCACTCGTTGATATCTGTAAAATCATAAACATAACTAAAGAAACGAACTGTAATTAAAAAAAAAGTTGCCGAGCATAACGTAAGAAACCCTAGTCTTGTTGTCTTGTGGTTCCAGACGCAAGTGCTACACAACCACTCACCAGATTTTTTTCTCGGTTCCCCCAAGTTCAAATCTGTTGTTCTGTCCTGTAAGCCTATCTATCAAGTCTCCCTTTACCAGTGGAGATTTTTTACCTTACACTGAATGTTTACTTAACCAACTAACTCCCTTTGATGACCAAGAAAGAAATTCTCCTTACCAAATCATTACGATATCAAACAGACAAGTGACGAGAATAAGGAAAAGTATCAGCTTGGGGATTATCAGTTAATTCATTACCAAATTCTTAGAACTGTCATCATAAGAATTGTGTGGCAGACAGTAAGGAGAATTACTAATGAGATCTTAGGAGTGAAAGGGTCAATACAAGGTATGCTGGGAAAACAAGTCTCGCAAATATAATAGTGCTTTTCTTTCTGATGGAAATGGTTTCAAAAGAAATACATCAAGTACCTGTGCAGTCGCTTCCATTTCCAGTATATCCGGGGTGACAAGTACAAACATACGATCCTTTGGTGTTCATACATGTAGCATTCGCGTGACAAGAGTGATTTCCTTTACACTCGTTTATATCTGTGGAATGATAAAAAATAATAAATTTTGAAAAAATGCAATTGGGAAGATGTTGCCGAGCATACGCTTAGAAACCTTAGTCGTGTTTTCTTGGGTCCTAGATGCTAGCACTTCACTTTAACGCTCACTAGATTTTTTCTTGGCTCCCCGCGAGTTTAAATCTGTTGTTCTATCCTGTAAGCCCATCCATCAAGTCTCCCTTTGCCAGTTGAGATTTTTTTTACCACCGAATGTTTATTTAATACAGTTGTGTGTCATTATCAACATTGTCTTCAGGCCTCAGTACACTCATCTCTTTTTTTATGCAAGGTATGCTGGTCTTGCAACGATGATAGTGCTTTTCTTTCTAATGGAAATGGTTACAAAAGAAAAGCATCAAATACCTGTGCAGCCGCGTCCATTTCCAGTATACCCGGGGTGACAAGTACAAACGTACGATCCTTTGGTGTTCGTGCAGATAGCATTCACGTGACAAGAGTGATTTCCTTTACACTCGTCAATATCTGAGAAACCATTGATACATTTTGCACTCTATTATTTTATCGCCTTAAAATAAGTAAACTCATGGTCGTGTAATTCCTTTAATCATTACAAATTATGAAACAAACATTTTCCTTCTTTTGTGTTATATGAATTAGATACTGTGAAATCATGTTTCAGTACTAATATGAATTTATCAATCTCACGGCTCTGAAACAAGCAAAATGTAGATCATGCTTGTTGCGATATTGAACTTTGTACTTTCGGTTTGTGTCACGCACATACTGGGGCAAGCGCAGTAGTAATAGTGAGAGGATTACACATGTTCGTAGACTAAACACGTTGCAGTCTTCCTGCTTAGTTTTGATAACTCGACAGCAACTGGGTAAAGCTTCTTCAAACTATGAGAATATTTACAAAAATTAGTTTTATTGGGAAATGTAAATAAGGTTATCGTCAAAATTACCTGAACATGAGTGTCCATCGCCAGTGTATCCCACTTTACATGTGCATTTGTAAGAACCAAACGTGTTGCTACAGTTAGCATACACGTCGCAGTCACTGATGTTCAATTTACATTCATCCATATCTAGAATGTAGAAAGAGAAGCAGTGACTAAGTTAGAGCAACTTGAGAGAGAGGCATCCACGTTAGAACTGATCCAAGCCAAATATTACGATAATGATATTCGCCAAAATATGCTTTATAATATTTCATGATATTTATAATTCGTTACAAGCTAAAATAACTCATGCAAACTTATAGGACTTACCTTCGTTAACCATATCACAGTAAATCAGTTTTGCTTTTCCTCTCCAAGTTGGATCCAGCCAGTACTTGCCGCTTATGGTGTGTTTACCTTCACTCGCCTTTATTTCGCCACAAGACAGCGCCGGTAATTCAGGAAGAGAACCTAACGGAGCTGAAGTAAAGATAGGTTTTACGTTCACTTCCTATTCTTAGCTCTTCCAGGTGAGAAGGAACCAGGTTTAGGATGGAGAAGATTTAAAGAAAAAGAAAAAGAAAAAAAAAACATCGATTTCTTACCTCTGCCGTTCAATCGCCGGATGTAAAACCACGCGGGTGCTGAAAGGAAATTATCTGGTCTTGCCTCTTTGGTGCGGTTATTTAGTTCACATATTTGGTATTTTCGATTGTAGTTATAGCTTTGGCACGTGATCTCTTGTTCACATTTGACATCGCAGAGGTGAGGGGTCGCCACTGACCATCTTTTGAAGACCGAACACCTGAGAGCCTTTCCTTCTATGTATATATCGGTCCTACATTGATCGTCAGCTGTGACAAACTCCATGACAGAGGCGAAGAGGAGGAATCTTAAATTTTGGAATTTCCACATACTTTTATTTAATCTGCAACTATTGAGGATAGGACACCAAAAGTAAATGTTTAATTCCCGCCTAATTACGGCTTACTTTGAAAAACTGTCCACATGACCCGATGAATAAAAATAAAACTCATAATACAAAATCATGTCGACCAGAGACGAATGGCCCGCCTCAGAATTCACGAGAACGCTTCATAGTAGCTCGACAGGATGCTAATTGGAATGTCAAGAAACAATGTTAAGTACGACTTCAAAGTTCGATCAGAATATCTGAGGTTTTTTGGCTTCTTTCAGCGTTAGTGAGCTGAGAGAAGTGTTGTGAACTCGCGAAGATAGCCTTACCAAATTGGCCGAGTAAAATTTCAAATAGCTGCGGTTCATACATATTTTGTGCCAAACAATTATCTCTTAGTGTGTGTTTCTTCTCCTTTATCTAGTAAAACAGTCCAGTAATCAAAAGTCATATTACAAATTAGGTGTAGATATAATGATGAAAAGGCTCACTTTGAAAACACTTTGTACTAGGGAAACTAAATCCTAAAATTGATGGTCTGGTCAGTCATAAGGCAGCCGTAATTAGTTTGATGTCAAAAATTTACCAAACCCTATTTTGGGATTTAAGCCAAACTTATTCTATGTAACTCTAGGGCTGCTTAATATAAGAAATGCGATCCTCAAACACCTGATTGCCATCGAGTTAAAATTGCTCTCTTTCATCAAGGTATTATAACTATGACTACGATACCAACCATCTGTTTTAAGCCAATGCATAACTTTAACATTAAAAAAGAACTTCATCGTTTCTGTTTTGGCTCCTCGCAAGCAATGAATTCAACAGAATTCGGGCCGGAATTTGAGTAACATAATCGCTCTGTTTGCGATGTTTGCAAACCAATGGCGAAGATACTTGTTTGGTTGATTATAAAGTGAAATTTAATCGGTATAAATTATTAGCTTTTAGGCACGAATTAGGGTTTGGTAAATTTTATCTAAAAACCTACGAAAGCTACTTTAAATTTAGCTCTTAGGAGTGTTTTGATAACACATCCCTATCGTTTTTCCATTATCCATTGCCTAACTAAAGAAACTCATCCATTAACTCAGGAAAAAATATGATTAAACTTGAGGAACGTAAAATTGTCCGTTCTATTTGTCCGAAGTTACATATTTTGTCTGGCAAGAAAATATTGATTATTTGTGATGCAGTTCCTTTATGTCAAAGTAAACAAGATTCCATTATTCGCGACCGAGAACGACATACAAAACTTGAAGACACAAATAAAGTTACAATTCGAATTTAAGCTCAGGATCAGGCCAAGTGAATATAGCAAAATTTTACGGAAATGCTAATAAACCTACAAAATTACCGAAAAATTTCAAGCACTTACTTTTAAGCTTGACACTAACAATTCGCCGATTATGAAGTTCGTTTAAGTTAATGACGCTTCAAATTTGATAGGTTCCTTTCGGTCATCTAACGTGTTCAAGTTCTTTTTATCCAGGTTGCTCCCAAATTATACCACTCAAGAATTTTTCGCGTGTCTTTCAACCCCTTTTAAGTGGTATAATTCTTACAAGAATTTCAAGCGTTTCTTCGAACCCCTTCGACACCACAAGTGCATGTATAGTTTGTTTTAAAACGAGAGACATAACAGGTCCTAACGGCTATTCATGACCATCATTTGAAGACAAAACTTTTAAACTAACAGAGACTCGCTCCCCTTTTTTCTGGGTTGCTTGTGTTTTCTTACGCGGAGCTGCTCAATCTTTTTAACATCGTATAAGTGTGACATGCGACTGAACAATAGAAGAGAGCTTTCGAGCAAAATTTTATTTGAAATGATTTAATTGAGTTGGAATTGAGTGATTCTAACATTTTCTAATCCTGAAGAGTTTTTCATCTGAATTTGAATTTTAGGTGGTCTGAATTCTGAAATTTCAAACCTCTAAGACAAACTTTGGCGCTTTTTCCATGGACGGGCTTCTCTTGAGAATCTTTATATTCTTGTTTTGTTTCTACTGCGAAGAACAAAAGAAATTGAAAAAAAAAAGCGTCCGGGACATGGTGTTTGGAAGTAGTAGAAAGTTACAGGAAATCGATAAAAAGAAAGAAAAATAAAATGTTTCTCATCCTCTGCTCAAGATTTCAACACTTAAAATGTTTTTGTGTCGAGCAGCAATACGTCTGTTATGCAGACAGTTTTCATCATTAATTAAAATATTCTGTTTGAACAAATTACTTGAAAAAAGTGGTAAAAAGCCCACGTCATGAATCCGTCGACTGAAAAGATCCTTTCGCTCTTAGTTGGAGAAATTAGATATATCGTAGTAGTTCCAACATCTTATCCCATTACATAGCTGCGACGACTGCATAAAAAGAAAATGGATCTGAAGTTTCGCTAACCTCAGGAGAGGGGATTATCTTATCTCAGTTTTTCGGAAAAAAATTTTTCTTTTTTTTCCAGAAATGAATAAGTATCATATTATCTCCGAATGGTTTAAATGAGACGTCTCATTCTCAGATTTTTAACTTGCTAACGGTAAAGGAAACTGGCTCACCTCTTTTTAGCATGTAGCACGCTTCCTCCACAGTTTTTAGAGGGGAATAAAAAACCCTCTAAAAATGATGCTGTCATTGGCACTTGTAACTAAACAGTAGTTGCCGTCACAATAGTCAATATATCTCATGCTCTTAATAATTTATTTCTTGTTCCTGTTTTGTCGTTGACAATAAAAATGCGCTGTTTTTTGTCTTGAAAAAATTAGAATCCATCGAAAAATGTACGTTGCAACTTTTTGAAGTTGTAAGAGTGGCTAAAGTGTAACTTGGGGTAAAATAAAACAGAAGGTTTTCTTATAATTTTTTATCAGCCTTAAGATAAAAACAAAGTTCGAGAAATCTTTATAGGGTAATACAATACGCACGCACTTTGCACGGCAGAAAAATAACATGATGTAAAAATAAAATGGAATCACATATTTTGTCCCTCACAACTCATGCATTTATTAGCACCAAAAAGGCGTCCTGCATTCTTGAAATATGAATGAAAAGAACCCCTGAAGGTGTTTAATTAAGTTCCATTTGTTTCTATTTTTATTTTGGGAACGAAAAATAAATCATCCAATTTTGCACAACTTTAGAAACTTTGATTTTAAAGCGATCATGGTTTTGATAAGAAAAAAAAAAAAAAGGATTACTGTAACCTCATTGATTTTCCTTTTCTCCTTTCTTCCTATAGATTCTACAGTCCGCCACGGCTGGATGCGTTTAGAAGTAATATTTCAATAACCAGTGCGAGGGTTTCATCAGGGTTTACAAACACGAGAAAACTGGCGAGAGCACGAGGCCACAGGCTGAGTGTGTTAATTGTTTTTGAGTGTTTGGAAACCCTGCTGAAACCCGATGGACGAGTTTTTTAAATAGCATCTCAATCGTTCCTCAGGAATAAAATAAAATGGAAATATTCACGAATTTTTCGCATGTTGTCTACAAGTTTGTTGTCACGAAAAATTTTATTGCTATGGTGATTTGTCTTAGAGTAACTTGTGCATCCAGCTTATTTAACGCAAGTGTGGAAGAGAAGCTAATTAGGAACCAGACTGGTCATCAGTCAAACGCTTTATTGAAGATTGGTGAGGTTAAGTCAGCTGAGGTTTCTGAGGTGTTGGCGCCAAAGTGCAGCACCAGCAATGAAGCAATGACTAAGGACACAGAAGATACTGTTAAAATTGGTAATTCGAAGAGTTTTTGTGATCCGTTTAATGCCTCTGCCTATTTTAAGAACTGTAAAATGAATATCAACGGAAAAAAGTGAGCAACGTGATAATGCTATACGCTTTCTTTCGAAAATGTCTTGTTACTTCTTATCAGAGAGGGTGTTAATAAAGGTTGTCTATTCATGTTGGTGTCTTTGTCTCAGGTTTTCAAAGACGGGTTATTAATATTCAAATCAAGAAATGAGTTCACTAGAATCTGATGCTTTATCAAACTCAAGGGTTTGATTTAATATGGAACTCATGGATAGCGCCTCATTCCAGTGTTTCACTGGGGTTTCAAACCACATGCACATGACAAGATTGGCGTGTCTTGGTTGGATGATCACCTTATGAATAGTTATTGAGTTTGAGAAGTTGTATTCTTCAGTGTTGGAGGGTGTTAGCAATATTTGACTATCCAATGTGGAAAGACAACTTCTCATTCCTGAGTAATTCTCGAGATTCATGGTACTATCTATCTTATCTTGGAAGTTTTAAATAAATTTTTAAATGCCATAACAAGCGAAAAAACGCTTCAGTTCAATCTGGGGATTTTAAGCCGCAATAACTCTCAAAAATGAATTAAAAAACTCCATCTTTTCATATATTAATGAAAGCAGGAATTTTTGCGAGAAATGGTCAAACAATGAACACGCAAATATTTCCTATAGCCCCCGCACTTAGCAACTTCACGAAGAATTGATTATCATTTTCTAAGAGCTGTTAAGCTAGAACATGTCGAATCTCTTTTAAAAACATGTGCTCTCAACAAATATATATTGCATAATTTGCAAGAGATAAGAACTACACCTTGCGTCAAACACCACATACAACTCGTTATAATATAGTGTGATTCAGTACTTCGTAGCCCCTTTACGAAATAAAAAGGTTAAGACCCACATATTAAAAAAAATAATTTATTAGCTTTCCACCCGTGACCAAAAATTACTGAAAAAGTCCCCGCTCGAAATTCAGCCCATATTTTTTCCTTTTGATTTCTTTCAAGGCACCGCAAAACCTCAAAACTGTCGATGGAAATTAGAACCAAAGTGGAATTCGACCGTCATCGTGTTAAAACAAATACAAAGGCCTTCTATGAATGAAAATCACAGGTGATGTTTTAGAGAGAATCCTTAGGGCTACTGTATGCTTTGTTATAAAATGTGTCGAAGTTTCTTTATGCTCAATAAGATAAATTTTGGCCATGTTTTAAAAGTGTGAGATTTTGGAAAGCGATATTTCACCTCCACGATGCCTGAAGGAAAAAAAAAAAAAAAAAAAAAGCAAAACGATGCACCACAAAGGCCTTCTAAATCTAAACTGATATTATAGAAAATATTCAGTTTTCGTTCCTTTTCTTTATTATATGGCTGTGCGTGTTTACTACAATGACGTCGATTTTTTTTTCCCGCTATAACTTTGAGTCAGATTATAAACTGGCATATTGATGAATTCACCTTGGCGCAAAATTAAAGATGTGAAAGTGTCCCAAAACTTTGCGCCGTAAAGGAAGTCGTAGAAAGTCGTAGGAAGTCAATAAAAAGAAATGCCATTTGAACTTCTTCGTTCTCTGGCCAGTATTTAAAAATTTAAAGGTTTCCTTTTACCTGTAAAGAATATTATCGCCAGATTGACATCTATTATGCTGCATTGCAAACGTGAAATTCGAGAACTGATACAGTGTATTTCCAATGTGACTTAACTAGTCGTTTTTGGACAGATTGTTTGAAGAAAAATGATATAGAGCTCATATTTTGAGTCCGTCGATTTAAAAATAAGTCCCTACTCTGTTAGTTGGAGAATTAGAAATATCAAGTCAAATTTAACATGTTACCCGTCGGCAGAAAATAGGAAAAGCAAATCCTATACAAGGGCTGTAAAACTCGAAACTAAACGCTGTAAGTAAAGCTTTCAGATGTGAGGGATTATCGCTTCGAATTCATTCAGACATTTTTTCACCTTTATCTTTACTCAAAAGGAAGAAACTGTATGTTCCAAATAGTTTCAATGTAGTTTTTCATTCTTAGAGTGTTCTCTGGTGTTGAAGAAAATTAGTTTACCTTTTAAGATGCAACGCCTTTCCCTTGATGTGCTTATCTAATGGTGTTAACTCGCAAAGTTATCTTTACCAAATTGGCATGACAGGTCCTGAAAGCTATTAATAACGATCATTTGAATAAAATAATCATACTAATAAAGACTCGCTATAATTTTTTTCTGGTTTGCTTGTTTTTGGTTTTTTGCTTTGTGTTTTGCTTTGTTTGTTTTTTTTTTTAACGCGGGGTTGCTCAATCTTTTGTGATTCTTATACCCTAATATCCTCTGGTCCTAAAGAATCTTTTATTTGAATTTGAATTTTAGGTCATGTAGAGGTTGTCTAAATTCTGAGATTTAAAACTTCTCAGACCAACTATGGCGATTTTCCACGGACGTGCTTTTCTTGACAATCTTTATATTCTTGTTTTGTTTCTGCTGCTAAGAACTACAGGAATTTGAAAAAAAAAGGGAATAAGAAATGAATTGTGAAATTATTCCGAAAAAAGCATCTGGAACGATGTGTTTGTCTCAGCCAAGAGACTCGAAGTTTGAAGCGTACTCATTTAGCAGCACTCCTAAGGTCCTGTTCACAGTTCGAGATGTTATCATATGTTCATTCACTTGATGCCCTAGAGCGTTTTTAAATTCGTTCTAGTGAGCTGATTAATAATATAAAAATAAATAATTTTATGTTTGGCGAGTAACCGATTGTGTTTCGTTATTTTTGAGATTATGTTGAAAAAAGTTTTATGTTATATCACGTTTATTTTCTTTCCAACGATTAAGGTCAATCTATTTGCTAATCAGAATGATGAATCCAACTTTTAGTGGTCTGGGCCGAGTTACCTAAGAGCAAGAGTTCGTTTTGTTTACTCCTTAACATGAATCTTGTGGAGATGCAGTCTTTAATTTTTAAAGGCGCATGGGAGATCCAGTGGTGGAAGTATGAAAGTGTTCTTAGAGAGCAAAATTGAAAACTGTACAATACAGTGGGCTTATTTGTTTTTAAGTGACCTACTGTTTGGCTCTCTGATTGCAGAGAACCCTAGCTATCTTACAGGTGTAGGTCTGTATGATGCAATCACAAGCATGTCTTCGATATTCACTTTTGAGACTTAATGTAAACACTTTTGATATTATAGTTAATATGTTTTGGTCACTGAATGTGCACTAGGCCAACGGAGGTTTTTAACGACCGTAAAAGAGGAGGGAAACATTGAAAAAGAGA